AGAGTTTGGCATTCCACCTATAAGATGCCTTCATTTGTTCAGCATTCAAAATTTCGCAATCAAGTAATATGATCAAAAAAGCTATTAGTATATCAAAACAAAGGCTTAAAAGGCGTTTTTTTTTTCAAAAAAGCTTTGAACTTTATAAAAATTACTAGTATTAATCCATTAATAGACTGTGAGGTGAGTAGAGGAGATCGAATCTGTAGGGAATATGCTTGCAGTCGACCCAATTGTTCATCAATGATCTTCACCTCGTGAATGATCAGAAGCTCTCGAGCAGTCCGAATCTGAAAACAAGCTCTACAAAAGAAGAAACCGTGTACAGATCCATAGATTGTTTCTTACCACTTCAAGATCGAAGAAGTCAGTGTCTAGGGAAATCTCGTCAAGTTCGAAACTGCTTATGATAATTTCAGATCGAAAGGGTAGAAAAGGAACCAGCACAGGAATTATGGATCTGTCATATGTGAAGATTTCAAATCGCTTCGCTTGTAATATTGAAGTGGATAGCTGCTCCCGCAATAAATTTACAACTCCCGGTGTCAGAACGCGCTGCAAAAGTTTCTACAAACCTCTAGACAAGAGAATTTCACATAACCTGAACAAAGTCTATCTTGATAGTATTTAAAAAATTATTTTATTATTTCATCAACTTCCTACTTGCTAGATGATTGTACTTTCCATGAAAACATTCATGTATACACACAATAGCCGTTAGGTTATATCTATCCGCCAACTTGATAATCTACTGCACTTCCTCTCCCCTTCCCTCTCCCTCCACCCACCCTCCCTCCTCCTAACCCCAAGAAAGGTCGATAGCAGTCACACGAGAAAGCCACTTAGCCCTCCTCCCTACTTTGACAAATTTTGCTTGCTTCTTTCCCTTCCCTGTAAATCTGCCGCTATGTAAGCCCCTAGTATGAGACGAAAAAAATTTTCTCGGTGTCTGAAAAACTCTCTATTGGGTGAAATTTGCAACTTATTATTTCAAGATTTCAAAATCTGAAATTGCGAAAATCAAGTCAAATGAATTTGATGTGGAATAGCGTTGAATGAATAAATATATTCTCATACTCACCTGCTGTATTTCCAAAGATCGTATATTTAAAAATTCTGTAAAGCGAAAAAGGATTCGCAAAGCAGT